ATTGTCTAGACGCCTGCTTAAGCCCATAAATGGATTTGTTTAAATGACAGACAAGCTTCTCACCACACTCCCCCTGCTGCTCATAACCCCTAGGCATCCACATATAGACTTCCTTGTCGAGTTCACCATGGAGGAAATCATTGTTTATGTCCAATTAATGGAGATGCCAATGCCTATGAGCAGCCACTGCCAGTAAAGTCTTCACTGTTACTAACTTAGCAACGGGCGAGAACGTCTCTTCATAGTCAAGGCCAGCCTGTTGCGTGAAACCTTTAGCAATAAGTCTGGCTTTCTTTCTTTCCTCAGTCCCATCAGAATTGAGTTTGACCTTAAAAACCCACTTGCAAGCGACAGGCCTTTTATGCGGGGGTAAAGGTATTACAGTCCAAGTATCATTTAATACCAAAGCCTGATATTCAGCCTCCATAGCCTTACACCATTCTGGACTTTTGATAGCCTCTTCATATGAACTAGGCTCAGATAAAGTAGATAAGGAAAGGGAATACCGTTTGTGAGCAGGGGATAATCTGTTATAGTCCAGAAACTCAGCAATAGGGTACTACTTGCCAACTAAGTGATCTTTCTTCATGAAATCTGATTGGAAATGGGGCACTTGAGATGTAAGACTGCAATGGTAATCTTGAAGGTAGGCAGGGGCTCTTTTAGAACGAGTGGAATGTCTGATAGGAGCTATGGGAGAAGGTGAAGGATTTGAATGAGAATTATTGATTTGAATAGAAGCAGGGCTTGAATTTGAACTGATATCAGTATTATCAATGGAATTGCTAGTACAAAATCTGGAATGGACACATCAGGTGCAGAAGAACCACAACCCTGTGATGGAAAAAGAAATGGATTAGAGGTAAAAGAAATATCAGACTTTGATAGAAAAGCAAGAAATTTTGGATGATGGAAGGGGAATATAGTCTCATGAAATGTAACATCCCTAGAAACAAAAACACTGTGATTTTGCAGATTATATAGCTTGAAGGCTTTCATGCCATAAGGATAGCCAAGAAAAATGCAAGGAATGGCTCTAGGGTCGAATTTGGTACGATTTCATTTGATATTAGAGGAGTAGCAAAGGCAACCAAACACTTTCAGATGTGAATAGGATGGTGATGTTTGATATAACATCTCATAAGGTGTCTTATTTCCAAGTATCAAGGTCGGAGTTCTGTTAATTAGATAAGTGGTAATAAGAACAGATTCCCTCCAGAATTTATGAGGTAAGTTAGCCTGAAACTTGATGGCTCTAGCAACATTAAGAAGGTGCTGATGTTTCCTCTCCACAACACCGTTTTGCTGAGGTATTTCAACACAACTCAGTTGATGAAGGATGCCATGAGACTGAAGGAAGTCATCCATAAGAAATTCAGATCCATTATCATATCTGAGGTCCTTTATTTTACAGTCAAAGTGAGTAAGAATCATCTGATAAAAGGAATGAATTATAGGTCTGGATTGTGACTTATCCCTCATTAAGTAAGTCCAGGTCATACGAGTATGATCATTTACAATAGTCAAGAAAAAACGAGAGCCATCTAATGAAGGGACAGAGTAGGGTCCCCAAATGACGCAATGGATAATGTCAAACCTTTTAAGAGCTCTATTGTCACTCCTTGGGAAAGATAATTTTTATTGTTTGGCAATAGGACATATAGTGCAATGTAAGTGCCTATTGAATTTTATGGCAGGAACAATATCATGTAAGACAGACAATTTTGAGATTGGAAGATGTCCCATACGACAATGCCATAAATCAATGTCAGAATTTATATTGATATCACTTATGGAATTACAAGACAAATGTTTAGACTTATTACACTGTGATCTGACATCAGAATTGCAATTGGAATTAGGAAAAACAGAGAAACTATGTGGAGTTTCAAAATTTTCACAACTGGAAGGATGTTTTCAATGTATTTTCTGAGCAGGAATTTGAAAGGTATACAATCCATCTTCAAGTTTACCCATTCCAATCGTCTTCCATGTCAAAAGATCCTGGACAAAACAAGATTGGTGCAGGAATATCAGAAAACAATCATGCCTGAGAATCAGTTTGCTGGCTGAAATTAAATTGAATGTAAAACAAGGTACCACTAACACTCCAGTCAAAACCAATGTATCAAACAACCTGATCTCACCAATATGTGTGGCCTCAACAGCTTCTCCATTAGGTAGTCTAACAATAGCTCTAACTTTATGAGATATAGAAGTTAAATGCCAAACAGAACATACCATATGCTCTGAAGCACCAGTGTCTATAATCCATTTCACCGCACTAGTTTTAATGCTAGAACAAAGATGATTACCTGAAAATGCAAAAGCATCTGGTACAGAATAACCAGTTTTTGACACATCCTGAGGCTGTAACTGAGTTTGCACTCGAGGATTAGCATTGTCAAAATTTGTTTGTCCTTTCAATTGCGCATCAGCATTGCCAAAACTTGCTTACACTGATCTGGTGTGATGGTGAGGTTGGAAAAAGGTTCCACCATAGTTCGAGGACAATTATCAGAGGATTGTCCAACTGCATTGGCTACAACATTTCTACTTCTAGCCAACCGATGTCCAGGGGGATATCCAACAATTTCAAAACACTTCGCCTTAATATGCCCTATCATGCCACAATGACTGCAGATAGGCTTATCTCTTCTTTAAGTTTGAATGAATCTAGAACTCCTTTGACCTGCATTGTATCCTTGACCAACATTACTTGCAAAAGCAGATGTCTCAAAACTTGGTTGCCGTTTTGTGATAACCTCATTTTGCCTTTCATCTTGCAAAATCAATGCAAACACTTTATTCAAAGGTGGAAGAGGATCCATCAATAAGATCTGACCTTTTACTCCTGAATAATGCTCATCCAAGCCCATTATAAATTACATAACCTGATCTTCTTGCTTATAATCAGATCTTGCAATGTCAGGTCTGTAATTATCCAGTTCCTCCCATAGTCCTTTGAATCGATTAAAGTAGGAATTAACTGAACCATTCTCCTGTGAAATAGTAGAAATCTGTTTCTTCAATTCATAAATTCGAGGTCCATTACCCTGACTATAATGTTCCTTCAGCTCAACCCATATCTCCTTGGCTGAATCTTTGTGCATCACACTAGGATAAAGCTCCTTTGGAATGGAATTGATAATCCATGAAGATACTACATGATTGCACCTTCTCCAAGCGCTATACAATGGATCGTTGAACTCAGGCTTCTTGATCGTTCCATCGATAAATTCTTCTTTATTTTTCACGCTGAGAGCCATAACGACGGTACGACTCCATGTCGTGTAGTTATCTTCAGCAAGCACAACAGAAATTAGCCGCATTCCTGTGTTATCACCATAGTGCAGGTAGTAAGAATTATTCGGATCTGTAATAGATATGTTGTCGAACGAATTCACTTCTTCTCCCATCATTTCTCCAATTGAAAACCCCTGGGGCTCCATCGCAGCAAACTTTAGTGCTCTGATACCATGAGAAAACAGATGAAGAGATAAGAATTGAGAAGAAGAGTAATTGGTGGGAAGAAACGTTATCCCCAATTTTCAATTGAAACAGAATTTACAATGCAAATACGGTATGCTAGCTACCGTATATATAGACAAATGAAAGAGATAAAAGGACTAAAATAANTAAAAGGACTAAAATAACCTCAGCTATTTACACTATTTACATAGATTCTAACAGAAGTGGCAACTCTGAAGCCATCTGGCTTTCTTATTTTCAAATCTCAACCTTTTAATACAGGCCACCACATTCTACTTGTCCAAACTTGTTGAGGGCTATGTACATGAATAGAAAGTTAAATGAAAAAAAGTGAATCATTACTTGATATTCAAAGAGAAAACACGACTGGTTTCACTATTAACAATGATACAATCAAGCTCTCACTTTTGTAAGAATCTCTCTGTCCCTTCTTCTATTTATATGCATTTTCATTTGTCGTTTTTAGGAATTCCCACAAAAATCGATGGATTCCGTGCTTCTTGAAAAATTGTGGATCCCATGAAATTTGTAGTAATCACTCTTTTTTTATGATAGGATACGTTTAGTGCTGGAACCCATACAGTATTTGCTTCGATGGAGTCAATGGCAGAGAGCATAAAGAACCCAACATCGATGGAGAAATTGAAGAATGAGGTGAGACAAGTAGTCGGAAGCAAATCAAATGTAACAGAAGAAGATTTGGAGAACATGCCGTATTTAAAGGCAGTGATCAAAGAGTCCCTAAGATTACATCATCTTGTTCCATTACTACTCCATCGACAATCAACCCAAGACACTACAGTAATGGGGTACGACATTGCATCTGGAACCCGAGTTCTGATCAATGGTTGGGCAATCGCAAGAGACCCAAAGTTTGGGAAAATCCTGAAGAATTTATACCAGAAAGATGTTGGCAAGAGCTGTTAGAACCAATTACGATTCCAGCTATAGTAGGTGGTATGGCCAAAATTAGGGTGTATAAACAAGAATAGTTTATTCCTTATTCTATTTATTTGTAACCTATCAATGGAAAGATATGTGAAAGAAAATAAAAAAGCCCACATGGTATCAAAGCGGCACGATTTCTGGTTTTATGCCATTACCACCGTCCTCTAGCCAAAGTTTCATTTATTCCGGCCATGGAGGACATCAGAACTGAGGAAAAATCTGGTGATTCTCATGGTGACCCTAACACCCTTCTCACAGATATAATTACCACAAAAATAACGGAAGTCCTAACCAAAGCTCAAATCTCGACCGTGACCCATGAACCCACAACCAGCCAGATTGGTATCAAGTTGGATGGCTCCAACTACGCTCTATGGTCCCAGGTTGTATCAATGGCGATTTTCCTCAACCCTCTCCAACAGATCCCTCCTTTCGAAGGTGGCGCACCGACAATGCCATCGTCAAAAGTTGGTTAATAAACTCCATGGATCCAATACTCATTGGTAATTTCATCCAATTTCCTACTGCCAAATCGGTTTGGGATGCCATTGCTACCACCTTTTTTGATGGCAGTGACTCATCTCAAGTCTACGACCTTAGGCGACAAGTGTCTCGACTGAAATAAGGCAACGACTCATTTGAGAAATACTATTCCAAACTGCAGGGTCTTTGGCGAGAAATTGACTTCCACCGCCCTAATCCAATGACATGTACTACATCAACAAGTATAACTCTCTGGTCCAAGAAGAACGTGTATACAAATTCTTGGATGTAATCGACGACCGACTAGATAGTGTAAGAGTCTATGTTCTCCAGATGAAACCATTCCCGTCCATTGAGCAAGCATATGCACAGGTTCGTCCGGAAGCACTCTGACAGGCGGTCATGACCACCAAAGAATCTGCCACTGTCTCCGGTGCGGTTCTGGTAACAAAAAGCCTACAGTTGGGTTCCAGTACTCTTTTCCCTACCGGTATATCATCTCGGGGTATAGGAAAATCGACTGGTAGCTCCAAAATTTACAGCACTATCAAAGAGGAAAAATGTTCTTACTATGGTAATAAAAAACACACCCGTGATAATTACTTCAAACTCCATGGATACTCCGAATGGTGTCACGAATTGAAAGCAAAGAAAAAATGCCCAGGTGTAGTTGTAAGCACAGGGGAGTCAGCAGTGGTGACAGCTGACTCTCCACTATCTCTAATTCCCCAAGCCGAACTGCATATAGATGGAGGCGCTGACTCTGACTTGGGTACATTTGGCTTTGCATTTATTTCCTCCTTGCAGGAAGGCACTACCCATGGTGGTTGGCTACTTGATGCTATAGATTTTACTCAAAAATCTCCACCACAACGCACCAGTGTTGCAAATGCAAATGGGACTCATTCCCCTGTCATAGGGGCTAGGTATGTGACCTTGTCTCCCTCTCTTCAATTATCTCATACATTACTTGTGCCATTACTTTCCCACAAATTAATATCCGTTAGTTAAGCTACTAAATAATTAAATTGTGCGGTGCTAATTTACCCTACTTTTTGCCTTCTTCAGGATATTCTCACGAAGGAGATAATTTGGCGTGGTACCAAGAGAGGGGGATTATACTATTTGGAGGATTTCAGCGTGGGTAGTACACATCTTGTTCGGAATGATACTCGGGAACGACAAATTTGGCTCTGGTATCGTCGTCTGGGACATCCATCATTTGGTTATTTGAAACATTTATTGCCTGATTTGTTCTCAAATATAGAAATTTCTAGTTTAAAATGTGACACTTGCATTGTTGCCAAAAGTCATCGCAACTCATACCCTTTGAGCATGAATAAAAGTAGTATTCCTTTTGCTTTAATTCATTTTGATGTGTGGGGTCCTTCCCTTATTTCTGTTAGATCTGGGGTTCGTTGGTTTACTATTTTTGTTGATGACTGTACTCGCATAACTTGGCTGTACTTGATGAAAACTAAGGATGAAGTGCTACAAATATTTCATTCATTCCGTACTATGATTCAGACACAATTTTCTGCTAAGATCCAAGTCCTTCGTTTCGATAATGGCGGCGAATATATCAATCAGCACTTCCGTACTTACTTCGAGCAACATGGCCTCATTCATTAGACATCATGTCCCCAGACACCTCAGCAAAGTGGCGTCACTGAATGAAAGAATCGCCATATTCTCGAAACTGCCAGGACCTTGCTATATGACACTCACGTACCTCATTGATACTGGCCTGATGCAGTATCCACTGCTGTACACCTATTGAATCGAATGCCTTCCAAAATCTTAAACTTTAAGACTCCCCTCTAGGTCCTAGCATCCTATATTCATCTATCTGCAGTCCTAATGCTCCCTCCTCGAGTATTTGGTTGTGTGGTCTATGTGGATCTTTACAAGAACCAACTGACAAAACTTGATCCTTGTGCTCCCAGATGTCTATTTTTGGGATATAGTGTGCACAAAAAAGGCTACCGTTGTTACAACCTCTTTAAACAACGTCTCTATGCGACCATGGATGTCACATTTTTGGAATCTGATCCCTATTTCTCTTTCTGCACCAATTCTTCTCTTTAGGGGGAGAAATGAGATGAAGTGCAAAATTGACTACACCATGAGTGGCTAAACTCCGATAGAAAGTCAAGTGAAGTAGTTGAATTGAAATCTTCAAGGCCAGAGCTGACAACGGATATGAATGCTTCTTTAGAGACTGACACTACACCTTCAAAAGCTGAACTAGATCCCCCATTTCCTCCAGTACCTACAGACACATCTTCTGAGAATATCTCTGAGGTAAGCACCTTTACACATCTCTAAATGATTTGGACACTCCTGCTAGTTATACATTACCTCTTAGGTATAATCGTGGTAAGCCACGAAGTAGATACTCTCCTGATATAGAGGAACGGAGGTCAAAATATCTAATTGCTAACTATATGTCCACCATGAAGCTATCTGAACCTCTAAGAGCTTTTGCACATGTACTGTCTTCAAATCCTATTTCGACCTGAGTTCAAGAAGCTTTATCTGATCAGAAATGGGCTCAAGCAATGAAAAGAGATGGAAGCATTACTGAAAAATGACACATGGACTTTGGTCTCATTACCCAAAGGAAAGAAAACAATAGGGTGCAAGTTTTCTATTAAACACAAGGTAGATGGTTCCATTGAACGGTATAAAGCAAGATTGGTAGCAAAAGGCTATACTTAAACATATGGAGTTGATTATCAAGAGACTTTTTCGCCAGTTGCTAAACTGAATACTGTCAGATTTTTGTTATATCTCGCAGCTAACCTGGACTGGCCTTTACATCAGTTTGATGTGAAAAATGCATTCCTTCACGGTGATCTCGAAGAAGAAGTATACATGGATATTCCTCTAGGCTACACAACATCCTCAAAGACCGGAGTAGTATGCAAATTACAGCGAGCATTGTATGGGTTGAAACAATCACCTCGAGCGTGGTTTGGGCAATTTAGTTTGGCTATGAAGAAGTATGGGTTCCAGCAAAGTAATTCAGATCATACACTATTCTTAAAGTATAAAGGTGATAAGATTACTACTTTAATAATCTATGTAGATAACGTGATTATCATAGGGGACGATAAAGAAGAGATATCCCAAATTCAGAGACAATTGGCAACTAAATTTGAGATGAAGAATTTAGGAGGACTCAAATATTTTCTATGGATAGAAGTAGCCTGATCAAAGCAAGGTATATTTTTATCGCAAAGAAAATACGTGTTGGATTTACTAACTGAAGTGGGAATGTTGGAACGTAAACCAACAGATACTCCAACTATCCAGAACCATAAACATGGAGAGTATCCAGATCAAGTACCAAAAGATAAAGGAAGGTACCAAAGGTTGGAGGGAAAACTTATTTATCTCTCGCATACTCGCCCAGATATTGCATATGCAGTGAGCGTTGTAAGTCAATTCGTGCATAAGCCTAGTGAAGAGCATATGGAGGCAGTGATTCGAATACTTAGATACTTAAAGTCCTACCTGGTAAAGGTGTTATGTTTTCAAAGAATAATCATCTTAGAGTACATGGCTACACAGATGCAGATTGAGCAGGAAATATTTCAGACAGAAAATCTACATCGGGCTACTTTATGTTTGTTGGAGGGAATCTTATTGTATGGAGAAGTAAGAAGTAGAAAGTAGTGGCACTATCAAGTGCGGAAGCTGAGTTCCGAGGAATGGCAAAGGGACTTTGTGAACTTCTCTGGATTAAGAGACTATTTAATGAGATAGGTTTTGCCCCACCTTCGGAGAGTGATCTTTTCTGTGACAAGGCAGCAATTGCTATCGCACATGACCCAGCTCAACATGATCGCACGAAACATATGGAGGTGGATCGACATTTCATCAAGGAGAATTTGGAGGGAAAAGTAATGAGATTCCCATTTGTGAAATCCGAAGACCAGCTAGTAGACATACTCACAAAAGCGGTATCTAGCAAAGAATTTTTCAGCTCACTTGACAAGTTGTGCATTCGAGATCTGTATGTATCAACTTGGGGGGAAGTGTTGGCATGAATTGTTAGAACCAATTTAGGAGCAAAATATCGAATTCCTTCTATTAAAGGAATTCCCACAATTCCAGCCACAGTAGGTAGTATGGCCAAAATTAGGGTGTATAGACAAGAATAGTTTATTCCTTATTCTATTTATTTGTAACTTATCAATGAAAAGATATGTGAAAGAAAATAAAAAAGCCCACAAAAGATTTATCAATTCAGATATAGACGTCAAAGGACTTCATTTTGAGAATCCATTTGGTGCCGATCGTAGAGGCTGTCCTGGTATTACATTTGCCACGAGTGTCGATGAGCTTGCAATAGCAAGAATGATGCATAAATTTAACTTTGCAACATAGGAAGATTTGGACATGAGTGAGCTTCCTGGAACTACTATCCTTAGAAAGTTTCCACTACTTGTGACCGCAACTCCTTGGTCTGGCTAGTGCCTTGGAGTGTCATCACGAACTCACTTTTTCTCTAAAATTCTCTCTATTTGTCTTTGCAATAAATAGCTAGATTGATCTTCATCATGTATGCAATAAATAGTTAGATTAATCTTCGTCATGTACGCAATAAAATGATCTATCTTTCCAATCTCTTCAGCATCTAGGTTGATATTTTAGTTTCTACGTGTACATTTTTAGTTTTAAATTAGGAGCTAGGAGAATTGAACGCAACCAAGTTTTTACCTTATCTCACATTGAGAATGTGAAGAGCCTAAGGCGAATAACATCATTTGATGCTCCATTGATCTTGAAAATGTTGCAGATCTCGAGAAAACGAGCTAAGTGCTTATGTGAGTCTTCATGAGGAATACCAAAATTTGTAGTAGATTCTGATCAAATAGCCCAATGGTCCATGACTTTATTTCAAAGTTATTTTCTTCAACCTCCAATGCTTGATAAAGTCCCAATAACATTGGGAATGATGGAATCCTTAATAGTTGTATTGGCATGATCCCCCATAGTTATATGTTGTTCTCAGATATCCTACTTTTGTTCTTTGGTGTCCTTTTCTTGTTCCCAATGTCTCTAATTTGATGAATGTTCTCAACGACAAGATTTTTAACAGGGGACACATGTTATTTATTCGTTGAACAGTTAGAAAAGCATCAAACCTTGTCAAAAGCCCCTGTTCAAGCATCAGTATTCAGAACCTAATTCTATATGATTCACGTGTATTATGCACGGGTGATAAGTGTAGTCTCTATACTTATTCGAGATCCTAAATCATGATATTTTATTATTTTTTTTGGATAAGATTCTACTTAATTTATGTTATATTATATTTTGTAGGTAAAAAATTACGTTTGATGAAAAATTAGAGAAAAAAATGTAAAAGTGACGAAAAATGGCAAATTCAAAGATGAAATCATAGAGAAAAATATTACATTAAATAAGTTCGAGTTAAATGAGTCTCAATAAACTTGCATTGAAAACTTTAATTGAAGATCCAAGTTAAACCTATATATATGTACGAGAGGGAAGAAAGAAAAGACATGCACGATAAACAAGGAAGAAAGACGGGGAAGCAGAAAGAAAGGGTCAAATTGTTTAATTACTTGATCCTCATATCTGGTAGGCACCTTTTTTTTTTCACCTTACTACAAGTCTTTTGACTATAATTCCTAGCAATTGAACTCCACTTGCATCTACTTAATTGGATTTGTTTCCCTATTGCTTGGTAAGATTTCAATTCCTCTTCCTTGCATCGTCAATATATATAGCTAGTCGACCCATTTCTTTCTCCAGATTCCTAATAGAATCATGTTTACTTTGAAAATTTTGCAGTATTTTGATTATCCCTATGAAAAATAGGGATGATTTCTCTGGCCCAAGTTGTATGTATTGGAAAATGGGTTGTTCTATTAGCACTAAAAAGTTCTTCACATAGGCCATAGCTAGCTTGCTCGATAGACCGATCAAAATGGTTTTCAACGTGACATTCAACAGTTAGATGATTACCTCCTTCGTTTTGAATGTCAATTTGTCCATTGGTTTGTCAAACAGTTAGAACCAATTCAGCTAAATTGTTCTATGATAATTATTTTTATATTAATAAATTAATTGATACTTATGTAATTTTTAACTTCCATCTGGTAAATAAAAAAAATATGTCCTTTGATTTGCAAATTAATTATTAAATCAGAATGTACAACATTCACCCAAATTTCCCCACAAATCTATCACCACGCAATTCATTTCACAAGTTTGTCCAAAATTGAACTTCATAAAAAGTGTTACATCATTACTATTATGAAAATTTAGTTATTCATTCAACATATTGATTATTAAAATTGGATATAGAAATAAACAAAATTATCCGACAAACGCAAGATTCGACCCTACTACACCTAGTGGGGGGGTGATTAAGTATAAATGCGGAATTAAAACTTTAATTAACAAGCAACAAGTTACAAGTTAATTATGTCTAGGTAATTAGTCAAACAATTCAAATTATTCTATCTTTGAATACCGCAGTTTGTATAATAAACAATATATATAAAAGTAGTAAATAGAGAACACCAATATGATGACGGAGAAACCCACCTGGGAAAATTTTTGGGACCAAGCCAGTTACCTCCACTATAAACAATATGGATTACAGTATATTTTCAGCTATCAAATTTCACTCATTTCCGCTGTTGTGATTCCTGTAATCTGCAAGATTTGCTGTACTTTCTAGTCTCACGATCTGCTACAGTAGACACTATTTAGCTATCCTGCTAGACTTTTCGTTCTACCTCATGTAGCCTCCTGATCTATTATCTCCTTCCAGCTTCCTGATCTTCTTCTATTGTCTCTTCCAAGTGGAATTTCAAGAATCTCCTATTCTTGTGTTTTTCCTGTACTTGCAGTCCACCTCTTCCAAATCTCAATGAAAGAGTCA